TGTTTTATTTCTCTTCAAGAGCTCATTGGCTTCAATACGGATGTTTCTTTGATTAAGAGTATTGTGGGGGATTTGATGACTGATGGTTGCAAGAATTACCTAGATTTAATGCCCTTTGAATAATTTCGGTCATTTCTGCTATTTTCATTATAAATAAGAAAATTTCTAATATCACTTAGGGTAGGATGCATCTTCCCTCTTTTAAGATGTTACATAAAGTTTTTTATGATAGCTTTACAAAGGTGGAGTGGTGCTTTTATATTTGGCCCAAGACATATGCTATAAGATTTTCTCACTTAGCTTAGATAAAATTTTTGAAAGGTTTGAAAATGATTAATATCCTTGCTAAAAGGAATTTGAATATTCCCCTTTCTTGTATCCTTTTGTTCTATTGCTGAGGAAAGTCATAACCATCTTTTCTCTGAGTGTGATTAATTTCTCTTTTTACATTATTTTTAAATTAGTGTCGAGCTTGAATTTTTTTATGCTTAGGCCCACTTTGATTCATTTATTTAAATTTATTTTTTCTGTTAATTTAGATTCAAATGCTAAAAATCTATTTTTCATGATCAGTTGTTGTTCTATTTATTTTATTTGGAAAGAAAGAAATAAATGGATGTTTGAGAATAATCATTGTGCTGATTTGATTTGTAGGCTTATTAAAAATGCTATTTTGGCAAAAATTTCTAACTCAAGGTTCTTTTCATGATATTAAGCATTTCGTTAGGTATGGTTTTTGTTGAGGTTTTTGGGGTATGGGGTTTTTTTTAGGTTTTGTTGTTGTGGTGTTTATTTTTATTTTTATTTGGGTCCTTCAATTTTTTTGTTTGGTTGGTTGGTTCAGCATCCAGGTTCTTTGGAAGGCCAAATTTATTAATCAAGATTTGGTTGTTATTCTATTTCTGGTGAGGTGTGCCTTTTTATTTTTTTCTTTTTGATGCTCAGTTTTGTATAGGAAGTTATTTCTTGTTTTATTGTTTTGCTTTTTTCTTGATGATTTTGGTCTATTCTCTTGAGTGTATTTTTGAATTTGCTTTTGTGTTACTGTTTTGCTATTTTTTTGGACAATGATGTTTGAATCCTACATCTTCTTTTCTTAGAAGGTTGATTTTGCAACTGGGTCTCTACTTGGGAAGGACATCTCTAGCAACCAAGGATTGATATTTGTATGACCCTTTTTTGGGTGAAAGATTCTTTGTTTCGATCTTCCGTTGGGCTATTTCTAGAGGATTCCGCAATCTGAGTTCTTAGTTAGGATTTTTCAATGTCTTTTTATATGTTTGGTTTTAATTTCCTTATAAAGTTTCTTTTTTAAGTTGCTTGTGTGGTGATTCTTTTTTATTTTCTGGAATTATATTGAACTGATATGAAGTAGTTGAATTATCTCTGAGGATAAATCTTGTTCTAAGAGGCTTTTTCTACCTTGGCTTGTTGTTAGAGGCTGGTGAAAATAAGTTTCTATGACACTTCCTTTAAATTGTGTTGTTCACATTTTCTTGTCTAACTTGAAGGGTTGTAGATTATCTGGATTGAAAAAGGCATTTATGTTGGTTTGGAAATGTTCTTTAGATTATCAGGTATAAATCTGTTGGTGGTTATTGCTAAATATTTGAAGATTTCTTTGGAAGTTAGATGATTGTTGTGCAAGAGTTGAACTGTTATTCATTTTTTTTAGGAATTCTTCTAATTAGTTTTCCTTTTTGTAAGGATTATTTTCTTTCTTTTCGCGGTTTTTGTAAGTTTTTTCTTGTTTTTCTTACAGAACTATTGCTACTCTCTTGTAACCATTTCATTTTTAATGAAACCGGGTATGATTGCCCCTAATTTTTTCCAAAAAAAATTTTTAAAGGATAAAATAAGATTTGAGAAAGATGTTTGCACTTTTAATAAATAATAATAAATGTAAAAGAATTTTATTATCAATCTTATCCATTTTAAAGTGATTGTAGAAGTCCTCTTGCTCTTATCTATGCTTAGGTCCAATACTAAATTGTTGCATCACAAAGATATCAAGATAAAACAACATTGAAAGGAGGTATTTGCATGTTTAAATGGATGACATTTTTCATAAGTATTATATAAAAATATTCCAGACATAAATGTGTAATCTTGCATGAATTAAATTAAAAAGCTTATTATCATTGATATGCCACCAAAAATCACCTTGATCAAGCATTAATCTTGAGGCATATTTGAAAAGAAAACTTTGTGCCATCCAAACTTTAATCAAAACAAACTTACAGTCAAACTGACCCAATGACACCAAAATCGATCTAATCTGAGTCCAAATAGGCTCGAATCAATGGACTGAAGAATACTTGGATGCTTCAAAGCATTAATTGAGTATTCAAATGATCTCGAAATATGACATGGTTATAATCAAATCCAACAGATCAACAAGACAAATCCAAAAAGCCCAAGATCACTTAATTATGGCATCATTAAGGCACTTAAATGCTTGATGAAAGCTCTAGAATTTAGGGAATCAATATGGATAATTTGATAGAGCACTCTTAATTTGCTCTGGATTTTTTTTAGATTTACGGAGCATGCCACTTCCAAAAATCTATAAATAGACCCTTATTCTTCACATGAGGGGGATGAAGGAAAAACGATAGAGAGAGCAAGTGAGAGCTCTCTTGCATTTTCTAACCATCGCCATTGTTGACGACCACCAGCTATTGCTGCAGACAACCACCATCATTATTGAAAATCAACATCAGAAATCTCTATCATCTCCAAAGTATAAAAAAGAATTAACCCTGTTGTTGGGTATAAAAGTCCATTTGTGAATATCTGTAATCCCTATTGAGAAAAATAAACCTTTTTGTTGGGTATAAAAGTCCACATGCGAACATCTATAATTCCTATTGGAGAAATCATACCCTATTTTTGGGTATTAACTATCATATTTGATTTTTTGTACTCTTCTTCTCCAACAGTGAAGAAGGGAACAACTTTGCATCACTTACTACCTAGTGAATTTTGTAACTAGGTTAGACACTATGATTTTCTCCTTTTTTGGAATTTATGCATAAAAAATTTTCTGATCCTGCTACTTTTATATGTTCATGTTGAATCTTTGTATAATGCTAAGGCATAAAACATACACTCTATAGACTCAAAATTTCTAGCATGCAACAATCATAAACTGATTAACCTAATCTATCTTGTATATTTGGGAAAAATAAGTTTGACCATATAAGGCTTTGCAAGCCTCCCTTAACAATCTTTCGCACGGATTTTCATTCGAGTTACTTAGTTTTTCATGCTTAATAAAATGAAAGTCGTGTCATTAGCTCATTTTGTTCTATTTGACTCCATAATGAAGTTATATTTAAGCTCTTCCTAGTGTAACTTCCCAAATTAATCTGGATTGGGATAGTAAAATTTTCCCAATAGAAATTGAGAGCAAGAAGAAGGTGGCTAAAAAAAGAGGAGAGAAAATGTGCAATAATTAAAGATCTACCCCATTGGTTTTGATATGACTGAGGTAAAGAAATGAAGAGATTAATATTCATAACTAACATATTGCTGTTATTTTATCTAATTTTAACTATACTTCTAATTTATATGTCTCTTTGAAATCTTATATTTTTTAATTTTTTATGATGTAAAGTCTAATATACTATATTTTAAAATAAATTTGAGATTTCTCTCTTTTTTTATTCCAAACATAGCTTGGTGACAAATTTGCTGCCCCATCTTTTGGCAAGGTGGAAAGTGATATCCATTCTTTAATAAAGGTTATGTGGTTATCTAAACTTCCATAAATTTTGTTAGTTATAACATTACTTTATCAGAAGCTATAGAGTCAAACTGATTTCTAAAAACAACATGTGGATTTGTAGAATGCAATACACCTAAAAACTCTTAATAAAACCACTAATTGGAGGAATAAGCTTATGTATATATTAACAAAAAACATTATCATTGGCAACAGCAAAACCATCGGATGAGAGCGACAACAAGGTGGATGGAAGAGTAAAGATCAAAGCTTGAGTACGACCACTACTAACAAGCAAATGAGCCACAACAACAATGGATGGAGCCAACACCGATGCTTAACGTCACCAACATAAAGGAGGAGGGAGAGGCCAAGCAATGTTTAAAGATAATCCAACCAAATCAGGGAGCACAAATATTAGGTAGCAACACACCTTAATTTATTGGTTAGAAATTTAAGCTTCTAATGAAGAGATCTTGCATTCGAGATCTTGGATCTACCATCTAAGTATGCAATTATCAAAATTAGTCCTTATGATTTTCCCATTTCGATTATAAATATTTTGATTAGATTTGCCTTCCCATCTTAGATTTGGTGCAACAAAATTGCAATAAAATAATTAAATAACTATACTAAACTACTTGATATTATCAGAAACAAAAAAAATAAAAAGAACTATCTTCAGCTAATGTAGAGTTGCCTGCTTTCAAAAAAAAAAATTTATACTTAAAAAAAAAAAACTTTACAAGACAATAAAAAAACCGTCTCAAAGAAAGACTAACTTATCCTAAATAGAGCTAGAAAGTCTGGGCTTCATTTTTTTCAAAAATTTAAAAATTTCACTGGTCTCGATCGATATATGACGCTGCAATGCTTTCTAGATTTAAGAAACTGTTAATGTTATGACATTATTTTAAATCATGTTATTAAAATCAAAACAATTTAGTTAAATTCTGCTGCTGAGGGTATTTTGCTGGATATCACTGGTTGTATGGCTCAATGTGAGAAGAGATTATTATGAATGGAGTCTGGCCCCGAAGAACCATTCAGCTATTTGACGGTAAACAATAAAAACTCAAATTATTGTTCATCATTGTTCTTTTATTGTTCACAGTTACATAAGTGAACGGTTCTCTGAATCCGAACTCCACATGTAATAATCTCTCCAATCTGAGAGGACTTGGTGGTTGAACATAAAAAAATTAGCAGCACTGTTTCTGCTTAAAAAATTCTAGGTTTTATAATTTTCACCGGAAACTAGGAGAACTACTAATTCAAATAGAACCTCAAGCCACATTTATTAATCGCGTTTAAATGAGTATCAAATTTATTTTCACCACACGAGTCAGATTTATTCCAAGTAGCAATTGATTTCTACAAAAGCTAACCTTTCCGAGAACAGTGATAATTCCCTGAAAGACAGACCAGTAATTGAAGCATGATTGTTCAGTAAAACAATCTTTTATTTCCCAAATACGGACTCCTTCGAATGGCTTCAAATATTATTTCTGATAGAGTTACTGTCAAATATTAGCCTTTGTAGACCTGCTATACCTGCTTCATTGTAGCAAAGTCTCATTATTGGCATTACAGAAGGGGAGTGAAGAGATAAAAAATATATGCCATTTTTAATACAAATTATAATAGAATATAAATAAAGTTATTCAAAATATTATACCGTTTATTCTCTCATTTCTTGTGTATGATATGAGGTCGGGCCAAGATGTGTATCAATGTATCTCTGGTTCATGTATGCAGCACATGTTATCGGGGGATACCTAAAGACAATCAGTCGAAAAAATGGTAAAGAGAAAATATAAGTAAAGAGAATCAAAGAACAAGATTTTGAATTAGCCATGAAAGCTTATAAATTTAAACTAAAATCAACGAATTGGGAAAAACAAAGCTGTGTACTTGGGTGGGTTCTTCTCAGAGGCGCAGGATGGCAAACACTCCACAACGCATTCAGGCTTTGGGGCCACAAAAAATGGAATCTGTTTAAATGAGGAGAATGGAAATTAAAAAAAAATGGAGTACACTTTCTAAGAAATATAATCAGCACGAATTCCAAATTATCCTATATGGAGAGAGAAGTAACATGTAACAATAATTTCCTTACCTTGAGTTCAGTAATAATACAAAAAACAAAATTATGTTTTCGGCGTAGCGAGGATAAAACTAAAATCATCCAAAGCAATGCGCATCAAGTAAATAAAGAAAAAAATAAGTGGCATGAAAATGTGCCAGTTACAGAAAGATACAAAATAACTCACCTAATATAATTTCTTAAAGAGAGAATTGAAAATTCTTTAACCTAGGGCTAGCATAAATTCACAAAAGTCATTCAAAATGTCAGAACCTAAAACATGACCCATTTAATTTTTTTTTTCATCGAATTATTTAATTGTGCTATAATCTTTTATTATTATTTTAAATATCCTAAATGTTATAGTTAATAAGTCATAAATTTTTTTTTAACCAAAACAAGTTAACATATTTATGTCATGATTATTCTATAAATTTTATGCTAGTTGTCAACTATCTAACACAACTCTCTAGTTTTCTCATCCAGGACTTGGGACTTGGCAACAACAGATTGATGGGTCAAGTTCGGGTCATTTAGGTTGCTAGTGAATTGGGTTTGGGTGATTAGGGTTGCTAGCGAATCGCGTTCGGGTTGGTCTTTTTAATCCATTTATTAAAAAGGTTGGGTTAAGGTTGATTAGATTTAGGGTTTAGTCAATTTCAGCTTGGATGCAAACCTAACTTGTCAACCTATTTTTGTCACTCCTACCTAAGCCTACATGGTATATATCATAGGGGTGGAATAATTTCAAAGAAATTGAACATTATATATTCTATACATTTACAAATAGTGGAGAATTACAAAGTACACATTCACATCAGTTTCATATGAGTTTGAATCTATAGTAAACGAATAAATTCTAGAGCAATGCTACTAAGTTCAAAACCCACTGTCAAACCAAGTCCAAATTTAGTGGAGGATACAATTTACAATTCCAAATCTTTGGATGGCCTTAAAAGCGGTGCTCAAAAGAAGCAAGCTTTGCTTCTACCTCTGATCTCACTAACTTGCTTCAGCTAACATTGGTTTAACTACGTGTGACTTAGCTCCTTTGACATGTTTAATCAGTTAGATATTAAGAGTGTGGAAAGATATTTCAAGGAAAGGATGCAGAGTGTTTGAGGAAACCCTAGCAACATTAAGTCACTCTGATCCTTCCCCTTATCATATCCTTTGTTGTGGATTTCTCCGCAGCCTTCCACCACAAGTTTTCTCCACTCTCGTCCACCATGCTTCCTAACTTCAATGGGGGTTGTCTGACTACCTAGAACAATTCTCCACTTTTCTCACCCAGGACTTGGGACCTGGAAACGATAGATTAACGGGTTAGGTTCGAGTCATTCAGATTACTAGTGAATCAGGTTCGGATAATTCGGGCTACCAGCGAATCGGGTTAAGGTTGGTCTTCTTAATCCATTTCTTAACAGAATGGGTTCATGTTTGACTAAATTTGAGCCTGGTCAATTTTAGCTTGGATCAAAACCTAACCTATCAACCCGTTTTTGTCACCCCTACCTAAGCCTACATGATATATATCATTAGCGTGGCATAATTTCACGAAAATTGAACATTATATATTCTATGCATTTACAAATAGTGAAAGATTACAAAGTACACATTCACATCAATTTGATATGAGTTTGAATTTATAGTTGACTAATAAATTCTAGAGCATTGCTTTTGAGTTCCAAACCCACTATCAAACCAAGTCCAAATTTAGTGGAGGATAAAATTTACTATTCCAAATCTTTGGATTACCTTAAAAGTGGTGCTCTAAAGAAGCAAGCTTTTCTTCTCCCTCTGATCTCGTTGACTTGCTTCAACCAATGTTTAAAATTGCATATTCGGGTATTGAGGCGTTTTTCATTCGTGAGGCGAGGCGTAAGCTTTGAGGCATAAGCCTCAAAATCAAAAGATTGCGTAAACATAAAATGATAAATTTTTTATATACCAATGAGTGAATAATATAAAACATAAAAAAGCATAAGATATGAAGTGAAATCAAAATATCCCAATAATAAGACAACATCAAATATAGTTCAACTCAAAATTCTATCTTTCCAAAATCCTAGTATTCTTTTCATTAACATATAATTCAAATTTCCAAAAAAAAAATAGCAATGACATATCACATAAGAACTCATAAGTCATCAGCACTGTCATCACTAAAGAGTTCTTCATTTGAATCATCATTATGATGAACTGCTCTCTTCCCTTCCTCCTCTTCTATAGAGTCCAATGTCGGGCATTTACTTCAAAATTTATATAAGTTTTAATATGTATACCATGAGGTGTAAGCCTCTTGCCAGTGAGGCGAGGCGGGCCTCAAGGCGAGCCTCAACCAAGTTGAGGCGCAAGCCTCATTAAAAAAACTCAAGGCGTAAGCATCAAGGCGTTTTTTACTGGAATTGCGCAAAGGCAGGCCTCAAGGCGAGCCTCATATTGAGCAATTTTAAACCATGGCTTCAACTAACACTGGTTTGATTGGGTGTGACTTAGCTCCTTTGGCCTCTTTATGCAGTTAGAGATTGCAAGTGTGGAAAGATATTTCAAGGAAAGGATGCATAGTGTTTGAGGAAATCCTAGCCATATGAAGTCGCCCAGATCCTTCCCCTTATCATCTCCTTCATTGGGGGTTTCTCCCCCGCCTTCCACCCCAAGTTTTCTCCACTCATGTCCACAATGCTTCCTAACTTCATTGAGGGTTGTCAACTACCTAACACAATACTCCACTTTTCTCATCTATGGCTTGAGATCTAGCAACAACAGGTAAACGGGTCAGGTTCGGGTCATTTAGGTTACTAGTGAATCGGGTTCGAGTATTCAGATTGCTAGCAAATCGAGTTCGTGTTGGTCTTTTTAATCTATTTATTAAACAGGTTGGGTTCAAGTTGACTTAGATTAGAGCCTGGTCAATTTCAGCTAGGATCCAAACCTAACCTGTCAACCCGTTTTTGTCACCCCTACCTAAGCCTACATGGTATATATCATAGGGGTGACATAATTTCATGGAAATTGAACATTATATATTCTATACATTTGCAAATAGTGAAGGATTACAAAGTACACATTCACATCAGTTTCATATGAGTTTGAAACTATAGTAGATTAAAAAATTCTAGAGCACTGCTATTGAGTTCCAAACCCACAATCAAACCAAGTCCAATTTTAGTGGAGGCCCTGTTTAAAATTGCGCAATTAGAGGCGCACCTTGAGGCGCGCCTTTCCGCAATTCCTCCCAAAAATGCCTCATAACCTACGCAATTCCAAGTCTTTAAGAGGCGTACGCCTCACTGGGACTGAGGCGCGCCTCAGAGGCGCAATTGCGCAATTCCTGGTGAGGCGTACGCCTCACTGGGATAGGGCCCACTCACTTAAAATGAACCCTTTTCTCTCCTTATACCCGAAAGCCTTCAGCAAACCACATTTCCCCCTCCCGCACGCTCCAGTTCGCGAACAAGAGATCCCGCACTCGCTTCCTTCCGCCGCTCTCCCGCCGGCGCCGCCTCTCTCTGGCGAAGTGGAAACTTCCGGCCGCCCTCTAGGAGTACTCCACATTGGATTTTAGGTATTTTTATTAACTTTAGGATTATATTTTTCAAGTTTAAGAAAAACTAGGGTTTAGGTTTTTTTGATTTTTTTTGTGTGTTTTTGGATTTTTGCTTTAGGAAACATGGTTAGAGGCAAATAAAAGGCGAATACGTCATTGCGGCGTGATTTGTACTTTGGGACATGATTTATTTGCATCTATTTTCTTACTTTTCACCATTTTCATATATCATTTAGATGTTTTTTATTGTATGATAGAACTAGCTATTATTTACCTGCTTAAAATCCTTAAATTCTTATTTACGCAATTCTGCGTCCGTGAGGCTTACGCCTCACACCGCCTCGAGGCTTACGCCTCGCCTCACGGACGAAAACCGCCTCGAGGCTTAATTACGCAATTTTAAACCTTGAGTGGAGGATAAAATTTACTATTCCAAATATTTGGATTACCTTAAAAGTGGTGCTCAAAATAAGCAAGCTTTGCTTCTCCCTTTCATTTTTCTGACTTGCTTCAGCTAACATTAGTTTGACCGTGTGACTTAGCTCCATTGACCTCTATAAGCCATTAAAGATTGAGAGTGTGGAAAGATATTTCAAGGAAAGGATGCATAGTGTTTGAGGAAACCCTAGCCACATGAAGTCGCCTTGATCCTTCCCCTTATCATCTCCTTCATTGGGGGTTTCTCCCCCGCCTTCCATCCAAATTTTTCTCCACTCTTGTCCAGCATGCTTCCTAACTTCAGCTTCTCTTCGAATCCCCCCCCCCCTCTTCTCCATAACCTTCCTACAACCAACTCTGTTATGAATCCCTCCAGAATCTTAATTGGAAATCTCTACTGATAGTTCATAACCTTTCTTCTAAGGATTTTTCTCTCACTTTTGTTCGTCCGGCCGAAAAGATTGTTCATTTCTTAGAAGAAGAAATATCTAAGGGTAATAAGGAATGTGGATTATCATTGGTAGGCTATTCCATTAGGCATATGCTTCATTACAAAGCTTTCTTAGCTATAATAAACAAATCGTGGAAGCTCAAAGGTACACTTAATCTATTTTCCATTAGTGAGGGTTTCTTTCTCTTAAGGTTTTTGACGGTAGAAGATCTTTAGATGGCTTGGATAGGAGGACTATAATTCTTTCTAGGTAAACCTTTTATATTATAGAAGTGGTCTCCTCAGTTTCGCCCTAAACAGGTTTAGTTTTTTATTATTCCCATCTGAATTAAGATTCATGATCTTCCACTGTCATGGTGGAATCTAGATGGGATATCTAAAATTGCTAGTTGCATTGCTTATCCACTTGTTGTAGATCCCTTGACCGTTAAAGAAATGCATTTAACTTTTGCTCAATTTTGTGTTCAATTAAGACAACAAATCAATCTCGTTGGATGAGATCATTTTTTTCTTGTCTGGGAAGAATACTACACTGAGAGTGCAATATGATTGGAAGTCTTGTACATGTGAGGGCTATGGCTCTTTGGTGCATCCCTACAACTTTTGCCCATCCAAACCTACCAATAATCTTCCAACATCAACTTTCCCCAAGGGAAGAAGCACATATTGAAAACCTAGAGGGCCTTAGCAGGCCCAGAAGACCTACTAACGCAACCAACCCAAGTTTGACATCCACTTGCCCCCTAACGGGCCGCCCACCTCTGCAAGCTTAGACCCACCAAACAACTAACCAACACAAATCACTATGATTTCTAGCCCTTTCTCTAAAACCACTGCTTCTAGTCAATAGAATCTTTCCAAGGAACACATCCCTAATCTTAATTCCCCCTCAGGTAACTCCCTTGACAACCCACCAAGCTTCTACATCCATGGAGAAACCCCCCAATGAGCCTCCTTCGATTCTCTCTTGGAAAAAATTTGTTCTTCAGGTTAATAGCGCTACAAGCTCGGTACTTATTGGTTTTATTATAGCTAGTTGCCAATTGCTTAACCTACCTCGGTACTTATTGGCTTTACAAGAACCCATGCTGCTCTTTTTCAACCTCTTATCCAGAAGATTTACACTCTTCTTGATCAATGGAAAGAAAAACTCCTATCATTTGCTGGTAGACTTGAATATGTAAGGTTTATTATTTAGAATATCATTCCTTATTAGATAAGACGTTCTATCCTACCAAAAAGTTGTTGTAAATCCATTGACAAAATATGTGCAATTTTTCTTTATCATGGCAGCATCAATACTAAGAAGCTACATCTCATTTCCTGGAAAAAAAAAGTGTCTAACTAAGAAATTTGGTGTGCAAAATATTCCTTCAATTCAATCACTTTACCATGCTTATTCCTGCTCTATTATTTGGTGGTTGTATGACTATGATAGCTTGCTTGACCTTTGGTGTAATGAAAAATACTTTTCTCCTTGAAAATGTCTTATAAATCCACCAAATATTTGGCACATCTAAAGAAAGTTGCGGACAAAACAAAGAACTGTTTTTCTTTCCTCATTACTACTAACAGCAGCATTTCTTTATTTTGAAATTACTGGTGTAACAGAGCCTCTTTACGGGAGAAGTTTGATATTACCACCATTGCTCATACTTTACCTCATCATGCCTCTTTAAATGGTTATTATGGGCCTAGACCTCTTCCCAGAATTTCCTTCACATGTCCAGGGTGCCGTAAAAGCTCTTTCTGTAAATGCTAACTCTATTGGTTGCTTGGCTTGGCGAGGTTCTGGGCATCCCAATTTTAAGGAATTTCTATACGATTTCTATCATGATTTGCAACAAGTTACATGGTATAAATTCTTCTGGCACAAGAACTAGCAATGAGATACTCCACTTTCTCATGGATGGCTTTGATAGGGGAACTTAAAACAGCTGACATGCTTATTCAAAGAAATATCCAGGTCTCGGTGTCATGCAATTGTTTTAATTGCATGCTTGAAAATGCTTCTCATATTTTCTTTGAATGTGATTATTCATCCAGCATCATATATGAGCTTATTCCTTGGATGAGCTCCTTCCTCATGAGGCCAAACCGGCTTCAACTATTTGAATATATTTCAGATTTGGATAACTTTCATGTTGTCACAAAAAAACTTCTATTACTTAGTCATTTGCTGCTCTCTCTCTCACATTGGACGAGAAATGAATGCAAGGAGAGATAATCCTAATATTGAAAGTATTTCCTCAGTATTCTTTAAAATTACGAAGGTTGTTTGCTTGAAAATTATTGGCTGAAAAGGATTGGAGGAAGTGAGAGGTATAATTTCCTCATATGGGGTTTTCTTTTTGGTTGCACTTTTTTGTTTCATTATCTCTTATGTTATCAGTTCTACTCTATTTGGTTTTGGTGGCTGTGTGGCTAGAATTTGGTTTTCAACAGACAATTAGTTTTCTTTTGGTTTTACTAGTATTTGGCGTATTGCTCAACTCTAAAATTTTTGGGTATTTTGCTGTCAATAGGGCTGGAATTCACACTGGTGTTTTGGCTATTTGGTGGCTCTCGTTGGCATGAATGGAATATGATGAATGGTGCACATCTCCAATTATGCCCCCTTGGATGGTCATTTCGGCAACCAGTAGCTGCATCTTGGATGGTCGTATTTGGCAACCAAATGAGCATTCCTCTTCATGACATATTTCTGATGAATTTGATGTAGTTTTGTCCAGTCTGAGTCCTTTTTTTGCTCCTCATTCTACTTTCTTGTTGTTAGTTTTGAACTTTTTCTTCAAATTTCGACTAAGCATCGCTTCTTACATTTTAGTTGCATCTATATGTTAGCTTGGCTTTTCTCAAAAAAAAAAAAAAGAAGAAGAAAAAATTGGATTTATATAGTAGCATGCCACCCAATCTTTTCAAACTGCTCAATTTAGGATTAAATAGCATTTCCAAGATTCCATGTTAGTGGGGAGACCTACTCTCTTAGCAATAATTTCTGGATCTATGAAAGCTAAGGTTGAAGGATAAAACTTAATGCCCAATAAATATATGCCCAACTCAATAGGTCATCATATGAAACAAGAACAATAAGAACACAAGAAAAAACAATTTTCTAAATAATATGTTGAGAGAATAAACAACTACATTTTTGTTGAACCAAATAAAAATGGAGTGATGGGTCTTACAGAATAACGTTCTCGTCCATCTAATACAACACGGTGCAATGTCGATCTGCACACAAATATGAACTTATAAAAACTATATCTATATGACAACCAATTAAGACTACATTATAGCTTAAAACTAAATCAAATAACATTGCATTAAAAGTACAATTTGAGATTATGTTTGCTACAATTGAACAAAGGAGAAAAATAACAAAAATATATATTGGTACAGAATAAAAGCTCTAGAATTATGCAGTTATAAAATAGAAAACATGATATTAGAATAAAAAAAGAGAAAATAGATTACTAAGCAAAATAGCAACTTCCTTAAAGGATTAAGATAATGTTAAACAATAAAAAATTTATGATTCGATTTTCCTTAAAATTACTATACGCATTAAAATGAATATATAATAAAAAGAAAAGCCTTCATCTTTGTGGGCATGAAAAGCATGTTTTTCTTGATGCTTTTTTTGTCATTGTCAAGGAAGATTCTTAATAGGACACAATGGAGAAAAATGATTTATATAGTCAACCCCACGTAGTGGGATAAAGGCTTGTTGTTGTCATTGTTGTCAAGAAAGATTCAATGTGTCTCAACTCCCTCTTCCATGCATACCACATTTGCCAGCATTTTAGCTTGACAAGAAGAGTCGGGAAACATTAAAACCATTTAAGTCCTAAAATATGATGTAGTTATATGCCTATCCTGACGAAATAATTTTCTATATTATAACAAAAAGGTTACATGATGACATGAAATTGACCATTAATGCAGAAGAACTACAAAAGCCAGTGCAGATATAGTTATCAAATGAAAAGGTTATCTCGTGTGTGACTAAATATTGAAGAATGCCTTTGCTATTCAATTGCAATAGTTTAAAAAAATGAGATAAAGATCTGAAAAAAGAAAACAACATCACTAAGTAGACTGATACCTGAAGACATCATTAGTCAACCGCTCGAGCAAATCACCAATATTGACAATGAAACCTCTGGAATAACAAAAAACAGGCCTCTAAGTCAAAAAATGATATTGAAGAAACTATAGTTTGATAATAGCAAAAAGTGAGGATAAAACCAAATAAATTCTACATTCATACCCTGTATTCCATAATGACACGGATTAATATCTTTTTCAAAAATAGACAAAATAAAATCAAGATAGCTGAGTTCTTTCTACACTAAAAGCTCAACAGTACTACTAAATTGCTGAACTTACTATAAAAGTAAGAATATGTAGTATGTATATTCACTCTCAGAATCTGGACTCTAGCAAAGGGCCAAACCACCGTCTATTTGTTCAAGATTCAAGGTGGTGGCTCTTCAAACAAAGCTCAAATGACAGCAGAAGAAATATAATTTCCCCAACTTGAACATGGAGGATGACTCTAATCAGGTTCAGATTAGCCATCCGTAATGTCAACCAAGTAGCAACACTAAAGAAGAACAAGCAATAGAAAGCTTCCTAATTGTACAAGAAAGACTAACCCTTTCATAGGAGCAACATCTTCCCATATCCGAGGTTGGGCATCCTTATCCTTGCATATCTAGAGTGAGTACAACACAGTATTAATATCACTGATGAATGAACAAGAGCAGACAGGAAAACTCTAGAGTGACCAAAATTTCATATGTTACCTGAAGACCGGTCACATCATCAGTGGCCAAGAGAGCAATGAAACCAAAATCAGAATGAGCTCCACATGCATATATTCCCTTTGCAGGATCAGAAATTTTGCCTGAATGTCATGATAAATATAGACTTAATCCGCACATATCCCATGAATGATCAAGAAAAATGGACATCAGAAGAACAACCAAAAGAAATCCTGAAAAGTGCCTTAATCACCTTCATAGTGAAGAAGCTTCAATGTCGCCAGGGGCTCACCAAGCATTTCTGGTTTATCAAAGAAGTCAGCATCTAAATCGAGTGTAAGAGCTATAATCTTTAAAATTGCCCGGGACACTCTCCTGTAAACATGTGAAAATAATCTCTGAATCTTAAGATACGAAATGCCAACCGCTGCATCTTTACAATAACATTTTGGCATTGGTTTAGAATATTGAAGTATATTCAAAGTAGGCTAAAATAAAATGCAAATAGTACAATAACAACGGATTACACAACCAAAAAAACTAGCATAAAAAAGACGCCGGCATCAAACCGTGCTTTAGCCAATTTGAGGTAAAATTTCAAAATAGTCTCTTGACTACTCGTATATGACCAATCTAATCTCAGTGTATTATATTGGTCCAATTTAACCCCCTTCACTATACAGAACTGATCCAAAAGGATCCCTTTGAGAATCATTTTAAATCGATTATGTATAATCAAGGGACCAAATTAAAGCAATGTAATACCATGAGATTAAATTGGCAAAATATGAATAGTTTAGTAAAATACTACAAGCAAACATAAGCAAAAATTTTTATTTTGTCCAAAATAGAATGAACATGTTGCTACTTCGGACCTCTTCTATGACTAGCGATTTCAAAGACTAACGATAGTCTTTCTTAGTGTTAGCAATCCTCCTACACCATAGCGCCAACTGCAGCGCTGCTACAGTGATTTCCATGACCTATCCTAAAAATACCAAATTTGGAGCCAATTTCAAGGTGAATTTATTAAATATGAGGTTTGAAACTGTTAAAACGAAGAATTTGGGAAGGAAAAGCTTGAATTTTATTAAGCAATCTACTCCCTATTTATAGATCTATACAAGGTATATCAATAAGGAAACAAATAACTCTTATAATAATATGAATATAATTATTCCTAAATCAATGGGAGGAATTAATGCAATCCTTGTAGTCCTCCCACGGATTACTGTTCACAGCCGTGGATGTCTTCGGGATCGTAAGGTTGAGATTTAACAGAAACATTGTGAAAATATACATGAACAAATTTCTCAGATTTTGGGAGACTTTTGAGAGAACTTTTGGCTGTAGTTTGGATTATAGAAAAAAGAGTTGGCAGCTTGGAGAAATTAGGGAGCAAAGATATTTGACTCATATTTTCTTATTCCTTCTTATATTTTTCATGTTGAAAACTACTATAATGAGTTTTTTCTTTTTCGATCAAGTTCTAAATTCTTTTTCTAGAGGCTAGATATAGCTAGATATTTAATGTTGGATTATTTTAATCTGATCCATTGAAGTTTCTTTTAGTTAAATTTATGCTACATATTTTAATCTATTTTTCTTGTTCTTTGTAATTCTTCGACTGCCAATTGTTTAATATGGAGATATATTTAAAATCAAGAGGTAAAAAACAAATTTATCATGGATGAAATACCATAACCAATCATAGAATAGTTATAATTGCATTGCAGTTAAGTATTCTTTAAAATCTTTATGTTTATTGCAATTTACATCATTAAATTTATCTCAAGATGAAAATAGGTTGTATTTGATAATTTTTTAGAGAAAGCAGAGAACACTTTCTGATTTGATTATAGCAATTTTATCCTCGTCAATTGATCAAATAAACATATAATATAATTAAAAGTATCTTTGGTGAAATCTAAATCATAGATCTATTTCTCTACTACAAAACTCGCCATTGTTAAAATTAGCCATTAGAAATTTTTATAGCTCACAATTTGCTTTCTATTTTTTTTCAAAACCTTCCGAATTGTCATTCTTCAATTAATTTTTTTGTTAATTAACTGAAAATACTTAGAAAAAAACAATACTTGTGGTAAGATATTTTTTTTCTCATCATTTTATTATTTGTTTGATCATGTATTCTTGCATGACTATTTTGACACATCTTAATAGCGCTATTAAGGTTTATTGGTTCCTGATAAACCAGCCAAATTTGATTGGGAGGGAATTAGGAAATTTCTTAATCAAGAGGGAGTTGTTTAGGAAATGTTTCATAATTGAAGATGACATATTTAGGGGCTAATTTGAGGGCTGACTTGACGGGGGGAATAATTAGGAAATATTTTCTAGTTGAAGAGGATAGATTTATGGGATGATCTGAGGGATGATTTAGGAGGGAAATAATTAAGGAAATATGAGGGAATTAAAGGAGGGCTATTTAGGTATTTGTTGTTTAATTGTTTGCTTTAAATAGGAAGAGAGGATTAGGGTTAAGAGTATACAAATTACTATGGATGTTCTTGTTCTTGGAATTTGGTGTCATGGGCTCTAGCGGCATCTAGGGTTTGTGAGAGATAGATCCTCCTCTCGAATTAAGGATCAGTTGTATCTTGCTATTTTTCTTCCATTAGTTTGATTTATGGAATAAAAAACTACTTTTTAAACATTGGATTTGTGGAGCGTTCTTGCTATTTTTGTCTATTGTTAGGGTTTACTTGAGATCTTCAAGTATTTTCTAACAAATTGGTATTAGAGCATATTTTGGGACTGTTTGGAGGATTTTTCTGAGAAAAGCAGCGGCTGATTTTAAATAGAAGGGGGCTGTTTTGTTGTTTTTGGGATCAAAATTCAGATTTTTGAGTCCAACAAAAATCAGGGTATCAATGACGTACAAGAAAGTGGATGCATTGGATGAACACCTCGAATGGGAGATGAGCCAAATGAAAGCAACTGTGGAAGATAGAATTTCATCCGTGGAAGAAAAAGTTTCCAATCTTCATGAGATGGCGAAGAAAATATCAGAAAATCAAATTCAAATGATAGCATCAAAAACAACGGCAGGTAGGAAGAACTACGAATTTTGAATTTCGTATGAGGGAAAATGATGTGGAGATCATGGAGGAAAGGTGGAAGGTATGGAGAGAAGCGTGGTTATGGGTGGGTGGGGGGGGGGGGGGGGGCATGAACCAAGGGGTGCTGATCGGGAGAGAAAAGAGGGGGTTTATAATAGGAGGGATGCTGATTTTGAAGGAATAAGGGGAGAAAGCGAAGAGGGGTTTGGGTATGAGCGTGAAAGGGAAGATCGGGACACTTAGAGAGGGTCAAACACTTGGGAAAGGGGAAATTATGTTTGAAAGGAAAGGCATTGTCTTGGAACCAATAAAGAGACATAAGGAGTCCTAATACGGAGTTAAAGGGAGTCAAGAAATGCTTATTGGAATGTTTCCTTCCTGGTAGAGGAGGGGACTTCTATGAAGAGTTCTTTGCACTAGTGCATGAGGGATCAATGGCAGATTATCGCGAGAGATTTGAGTACCTGACCAGTCGATTAGATCGACTATCGGAGACTGTTTTGGAGGGTAATTTCATGAAGGGACTCAAATAAGATATCAAGGCCACAGTGAGAGTCATGAGACCTCATGACGGGAGATGCAATGGAGCTGGCACAGCTAGTGGAGGATCAGAAGTACTAAGAGAGTGGAGCCTAGGTCAACAGTTCAGTTGGCTCTTACAGGATAACTACCACTTTTTTAACACCCAAGGGACCTACAATAGGCAACATTTGTGAGACTCCTAGAAAGAAGCCAGGAGGAGAAGGAAGTGCGGGGAACTTCAAAAGACTGACAGAGAGGGAGATGCAGGAGAAGAGGACAAAGGGACTATGCTTCAAATATGATAAGAAGTATACTGCAGGACACAGGTGCAGGGACCGAACTCTTCAGGTTCTCACCGTCTGTGATGACGAGAAAGCTGAGGTAGGTTAGAGTGAGGAAGAGAGAGATGGAGAACAAGCTGCATCTGGATGTGGTGAAAGTCTCCCTGAATTTTGTTGTAGGATTTACTCTGAATCATACATGAAGGTGAAAGGATAAATAGTAGACAATGAGGTGATGGTGTTGATTGATAGTGGTGCTACTCACAATTTCATCTCCAACCAGGTTTTAAACCAATTGGGGGTTAAATTGGTAGATACATGATGTTATGGAGTAATAATGGGTACGGAGAAGGTAGAGATAGGCCAGAGGATCTGTAGAGTAGTGTTGACCATACAGGGGATTCAGGTCAGGGAGTATTTTCTCCCATTGGAATTAGAAAGCACTGATGTCATCCTAGGGATGAAGGTGCAGATCTTGAGAGACACCAAGGTCAACTAGGGGACACTAACGATGGCGCTGGTGGTAGATGGGAGAAGAGTAGTGATAAGATGAGATGCAGGGCTCTCCAAAGTCATGATATCACTTAAAACCATGGTGATGAGCATACAGGAGGAGGAGAAGGTCATCTAGTAGAACTACGCATGCTGGAGGGGGTCATATTGGAGGATGGAGGGGACATTCCTCTTTCATTGCAACCCTTGATTCAGCAATTCCCTGAGATTTTTCAACCACCTCAAAGATTGCCACCTCCGCGGGAACAAAAGCATGTTATTATCTTGAAGAAAATAGTCTCACCTATCAAAGTTCATTCGTATCGTTATCCTCAAATCCAGAAGGATGAAATCGAGAGATTGATTAGGGAAATGTTGGAGGAAGGAATCATTTGACCCAGTGTCAGTACAACGCTATTAGTCAAGAACTTCAGCAGAAATTTTTTTTGTTCCACCTTGAGGATAATATGACTCTTTGGAAGAAGAGTATTGATAGACTGATCAAATTTGATAGGGATGGAATTAGGAAATTTTCAAATCAAGAGGGAGTTTTTTAGGAAGGTTCTTAATCAAAAGGATTTAATTAAAAATTATTTCTAAATTGAAGAGGACATAATTAGGGACTATTTTTTGTTTGGGGGATTAATTAGAAAATATTTTCTAATTGAAGAGGGCTGAGTTGGGAGGAAAATAATTATGAAAATAGGAGGATTGGGGGACTATTTAGGTATTTATTGTTTAATTGTTTGCTCTAAATAAGAATAAAGGAATAGGGTTAGGGGTAGGCAAATTATTGTGGATGTTCTGGTTCTAAGAGTTCGGTGTCTTGGGCTAAAGGCATCTAGGGATTGGGAGAGATAGATCCTCCTCTCGAATTGAGGATTAATTGTATCTTGCTATTTTTCATCCGTTAGTTTGATTTCTGCAATAAAAATTACTGTTTTGCTTGTTTTTTTCATTGGATTTATGGAGCAATCTTACTATTTTTGCCTTTATT